ACCTACCTTTAAACACAACCTGATAAACGAAGAAAAGAATGCCTCTAAGTGCTATACATATGTTTTATGTGTTGTTGTTGTTTTAAACAAAACACTGGTTTCTGAACTAAAAAGTAAAATATTACGATATTTCTGTATGTTTTCGAAAAAGACACTGTCTTCACTTTCACATAATACATTTTAATAATCGAGCAATTAATAATTTTGATATTGAAGTGAATATAACCTCGACAGTCTTGGGAGAATTTTTTGCTTGTTTGTTTGTTTGTTTTACGTACAAAGCTACACAGTGAACTATCTGCACTGCGCTCACAATGTATCGAACCTCAGTTTTTTAGGGTAATAAGCCCTTAAGCTTAATGCTGCGTCACTATGAGCAACTTGGAAGACTCAAACTTAAAACTTACTTGAAGGCAGTTTCCAATAAAAAATCCAGAAATGTCAATGCTTTGTTTGCGATTGCTGTATAATAACAGTCTTCGTATGGTCTTGGGTTATGTTGACGTTTGATGGTCTGGTTGTTTAATTAAGCAGTTTCTGCTAACAAAGTTTGTTACGATTGCTGTATCTCTATAGACCACGTATGATTTTTATAAAATCTTTACATAAGTATAACTTATACAGTGGGTCAGGTTATAAAATTCGATATTTTTACACTCCCATCTGAGTGATCAATCTTGAATTTTGAGCAAATTTGAATGAGGACCTTAAATGAAATAAAATTTAACATAAAAGTTTAAAGTTTTAGTCACTACCTTTACAGACACTTTCTTTATACACTTAGCTATTTATAGTTAGTAATTCTTATGAGAAGTTTTTGTCGAAATTTGTTAAAATACTTGTTATTAGCTGTGTCTTTTATTAAGTGATGGGCTGTGAGCACAAGTAAAGATTTAGTCTCAACTACGCCTAAGTATGCATATGAATCATTTTGTGTAATCCCAGGCACTTTAGTGTACAGTAGTAGAGTTTCGTAATCAAATTACTGGATGCTTTGTATACAGTATTACAGTTTCATAATCACATTCCAAGACGCCTTAGTGGGCAGTAATACAGTTTTGTAATGAAATTCATGGTCGTTTTAGTGGACAGTAGTACAGTTTCGTAATGAAATTCCTGGACATTATATTGTACAGTTTCGTAATCAAATTCATGGTCGCTTTAGTGGACAGTAGTACAGTTTCGTAATGAAATTCCTAGATGCCTTAGTGTACAGTAGTATAGTTTCGTAATCAAATTCCTGGACGTCTTAGTGTACAGTAGTACAGTTTCGTAATAATCCTGGATGCTTTACTGTACAGTAATACAGTTTCATAACCAAATTCCTGGCCGCCTTTGTGTACAGCAGTACAATTTCGTAGCCAAATTTCTGGACGCCTTAGTGTACAGTAGAACGGTTTCGTAACCAAATTCCTGGACGCCTTAGCCGACATTAATACAGCTTCGTAACTAAAAACAATGACTCCTTGGTGTAGTTTAGTAAACATGTCGGTCATAGCTGAGCTCAAAATAATCGGAAGCTGAACCGTGGTCGTAGTGTCTCCCCACTCCGCCTTGCGGTTATCGTTATGAATCATGTGATTAAATAAGTAGAATCACACGTGTGTTTTTTTTCTTTCTTTTTTATAATCAATCCACAAGCCCATTTGTGTTGCTCAAAAAACATTTAAACGTTATATCAGAAGCACAAACAGGAAAAACAGTTGTAACACAGGACTAATAAGAGATTTTCTTTCTCTAGTTTCTTCGAAAAGGAACATTAAGGACAAAGCACAGTACTCTGTTATTTCTAAATACGGTCCAGCTTAATAGAAAACTTGGTTCCCTGTTTATAAAATCTAACTCAACGTATTTTTTTCTTTTCGTTTTATAGATGATTTGAACAGAATATTCACGATGACCAAAAAAAAGTGAAGTGGACAGTAAATGCATAGTTCAGAGTGACACTCTAAAATAAATTGTCGGAATTCTAATCTATAAAAGTAGTTCAGTTTGTCCTTTCTACCCGAGCTATATTTTATATTAGTCTTCCATTTAGTCTGTCTATTTCACCTTTTCTTGTTCAACATAATTTTTTTTCAAGAAAGTCCAGCTTACTGAAAAAATCGTTCCTTCCCTTAAATAAAGCCTTACTATAATAATTAGTTCCCTGTTTTAAATAAAAACTCAACTTAATATAACACCTATTAGACATTTTATATAAAATCCAGCTTAATATAACACCTATTAGACATTTTACATAAAATCCAGCTTAATATAACACCTATTAGACATTTTATATAAAATCCAGCTTAATATAACACCTATTAGACATTTTACATAAAATCCAGCTTAATATAACACCTATTAGACATTTTATATAAAATCCAGCTTAATATAACACACCTATTAGACATTTTATATAAAATCCAGCTTAATATAACACCTATTAGATATTTTATATAAAATCCAGCTTAATATAACACCTATTAGACATTTTATATAAAATCCAGCTTAATATAAAACGTTTTCTTTTTTATAATACAACCCAGTTCAATGAAGAAAGTGTTTCATTTTTAAAAGTACAACTCAGCTTCAAAGAAAACGTGTTCTTATTTTTGTACAACCCAGTTTAATGTAAAACGTTTTCCATCTTTTAAGTAAAATGAAGGTTAGTAGAAAAGTTGGCTTGTCTTTTACGCTAAAGTTCAGTCTAACATAAAACGTGTTCCTTCTTTTAATTAAGATCCACCTTCTTATAAAAGTTGTCCTTATTTTAAGTAAAGTTTTCCTTAATAAAAAACTTCTGTTTATTTAAGTAAATCAGTCTAAGCACATATCTTGCTCTTTCTCTTAAGCAACATCCAAGTTAATAGAGAACTTATTTTTTTGAAGAAAATTGTATGAAATTTCATTGACATTAAAATTTTAATACATTAAACTTATGATATTAAGTGGATAAACTAAAACAAGAAATTTTATCTACATACTTGGACGTTACGTTTAAGATATTCTTCGTTCAATCATTCTATATGGGACTGATTGATCTTGTGAAAGAAGATCTTATTTCAATAATTGTTCGTTACATTAAGAAAGAAAAATTAAACATGAGTTAAAACACGTGTGGAGCACATTAAAGTTTCGAGTTATTCTTACACAGTAAACACGTGATTTGAAGCATGTGCTGTGAAGTCAATCAGTTTGTATTTACTAATTAGCAATATATTTCACAGTGAATGGCAGCAAGCAAAAATATTGCTTTGAAAATAACCCGTGTTAATATACAATATAATAATTGTCTGTATTAGTAAACATCATTATAATACTTTATAACAGCCCGTGTTAGCATGCTAAAACTATAACCTTGAGATAACCTGCGTTGATATAGAATATAACAATTGCATGTGATAATAAACACCATTATAATACTTTATAACAGCTCGTGTTAGTAGGCTAAAACTATAACTTTGTGATAACTTGTGTTAATATACAATATAACAATTGTTTGTGCTTGTAAACACCATAATAGTACTTTGTAATAGCCCGTATTAGTATACAATAGAATAATCTTTGATAATGACCCTTAGGAGGCGCGGGCTGGTCCAGAGGTAGAGCTCTGGATTTTCATTGCTAGCGAGACAGACTCGAATCCGTCCGATACCAAAAAATATTCCCTGCACTTTAAAATGTGGATGCATTTTAAGAGTGACAGTCAATCCATTAGCGCGGAAGGTAGTGCAAAATTAGGGACGACAGCAGATATAACCTTTTAACGACCCGCATTTGTATATAACCAGAATCCCTTAGACTCCAATAGAATAATTATTGCTAGCGTCCATCAGAATAATTATGATAACACGTTAATATTTATGTATAATTATGATAAGTCGTGTTAGCATATGCCATAGAATGTCTGTGTTAACCGAAGTAAAAAATGATTGAGATAATTCATGTTGTGTGCGAAAGGATGTTTTGATAAATTACATTAGTATGCAGAAAAATTGTTTTCGGTCACGTGATATTATAAAAACAAACAAAGAATACTGTATGCGTATATATATCTGAAAAGTTTTTTACGAGTACCAATCGCCTTACATATTTTCATGGCAATTCTATATTTTGGGAAAACGTGGAGGAGAAGAACAGGACTGTGCCTTGGGGAAAACTTATAAAGTCCGAACCAGAACTTTTTAGTCTGAAAAACGTATACATCAACTCAACTTTAACAATACTGAGATAACCCTTGAAAATATGAACCAAGGCCATTTTTTCAGTCTATAAGTCTGTAATATTTGCTATGAACATCGTTTCCAAACCCATATCTCAATCTATTATTTCTGTAAGAAGCATGCAGGTTTATAACAGAATTTTTATTGTTTAAATTAGCGCATGTAATAAAAACAAGAGCTGTTTACAACAATACATATAAACACTAAACTGTATCTTGTGGTTGGGACTTTAATGTATTCCTCTCATTACTACATATACTGTGTCACTACTCACCTTGCAACAATTCATTTAAATACTAAACAATAAGTTGTGGATGGGTTTCTCATGTATTTCTCTCATTACTACATATACTGTATCACTACTCACCTTACAACAATTCATTTAAATACTAAACAATAAGTTGTGGATGGGTTTCTCATGTATTTCTCTCCTTGCTACATATACTGTATCACTACTCACCTTACAACAATTCATTTAAATGATAAACACTTCCTTGTGGATAAGATTCTCGTGTATATCTCTCATTGCTATATACCATACTATATCGTTACGTTTCAGCTTTGTCTTTTACTTCGGACTAACACAGAGGTATTAACAATAGAAGACATTTCATTGGATAATGGGTGTAATATCACATCGCTGTAAAACCAGTGATAATTTTAACTACGTCATAGTTTATTAGCTAAAATAAGGTTTCAGAGGAGTATATAATAACATTTGAAGTACACTCTTTGTTGAACTGTGATGTAAAATCAGATATATTACCCAAAAAGGTATTATGTTTCGACAGCTTAGAAGTGAAACGATCAAACACACCGGAAGTTGGTGACGAAACTGTTATAATAACTAGGAGTGCTGCTTAGAATGAACTGTGAATACTGTGAGATGTGTCATTATTATGGTAAGTTTATAGAATTATAGAACAGGTGGTGACGAAACTGTTATAATAACTAGGAGTGCTGCTTAGAATGAACTGTGAATACTGTGAGATGTGTCATTATTATGGTAAGTTTACAGAATTATAGAACAGGAGACTTTTTTTACCTATTAGTTTAAGTGATGCGCTGTACTACATTAAAAACACTGGAAAAACTTTTATCCCCCAACTTTTCGCACGAACTTCCACTCTACGACTTTCTTTTAAGGAGGATTTAATTAACCTAAATCTATCACATTTAAACATTTTTGTCATAAGACATTAGTATTAGCCCTAAGGGACTAGATAAAGAATGCAGTGTTTAAAAATGTATTAGGTCTAACATTAATGCCTTATGACAAATACAATTGTAATCATTCTTCGCCGGCTTGTAAAAGGTGTACACACCATAAAAATTGTTATTGTATCAAATAGCCTATATAAATAGTGTTCCGACTACTACTGTGTTCGTTGTATCTCAGCCGGCCTGAAGAGCTCTGGATTGAGCGAAACGCGTCGTCGGTAATGAATATGACAAATATAGTGTTATTGGAATACTATTATTATACACTTTTCTAATTCTTGAAAATCCCTAACGGACTAGATAAAGAATATGGTGTTTAAAAATGTAATATGCTTAATACTAACGTCTCATGACAAGTACAATTGAAATAATTTACATTGTTGCGATCCCTTTTCCATGTAGCATATGATATTCAATGTGAAAAGCATCTTACGCGACATATAGTCTAAAAAGCCAGGACAAATATCCCAATGTTCAGGCACAGCTGTCCAGTCAACTGCCGCCTACATGACAACTCTTAATCAGTAAACGCATCCACAGCTGAAAATGCGGAACATATTTAGAGGCATGTCATGGGTTTGAACCTTCAACCTTTCGATACGTAGCCCTGCACGCTAACTACTAATACATGCTCGGTCCATCCGTGTATTGTTTGTTTGAAGTTAAGCACAAAGCTACACAATGGGCTATCCGTGCTCTGACCATCACGGGTATCGAAACCCGGATTCTAGCGTTGAAAGTCCGCAGACATACCACTGTGCTA